TTAACAATAGGTCCCAAATAGTTAAACTCGGGTCTGCAACCTCCAAACCTAGCCCTATCACTTCTGGTGTAGTACAAGGTAGTGTCATTGGACCCCTCCTATTTACACTATACATCAATGACATATGCGCTTGCTTCACGCACGGGAAACCATTCATCTTTGCAGATGACCTAAAAGTAGCTTATACATTCCAACGTGATGACTTAGGGAACTTCGAGAATGTAGTACAGAAGGAATTAGATAAAATGGCTGCTTGGTCGTCCCTATGGAATCTCCAATTTAATCTGAACAAATGTGGCTGGATCTGCTTCGGTGCACCCTCAATTGACCTGAAATTAACGCTCCAATCTGCTAACCTAACAAGACTCCGAAGTGTCGTTGACCTAGGCTTGAGGTACTCTAGTGACTTGACATTCTCTGAGCAAGTAGCATCACAGACTAGAAAATCGAGGATGCTCTTAGGATGCATACTCAGGAACTTTCACGACAATGAAGCCAAGCTAATTCTGTACAAAACATGTGTCAGACCACTACTAGAATACTGTCCATTTATTATAAGCAGCACTCGCACACGCGACAAGCTAAGGATGGAAAGTATCCAACGATATTTTACCTCAAAACTGCTTGGCTACGATTGTAAGAAAGACTACATCTCACGGTGCATGATCCTAAAACTCGACCCACTTTGGACAAGGCGACTTATTATAAACCTAATATTCTTCTTTAAGGTCCTTCACAAAATATCTTTCTCAGGTAACAGGGACATACAATTCGCACAGGAAGGTTCTTACGATCTGCGTAACCAAACTTCCACAGTGACAACTCATTCTTTTAAGTCAACACTCCGTGAAAACTTCTTCACAGTCATGTATTCTAAAATATGGAATAGCCTACCCCTAGATGTCAGAACTTGCTCTTCGGTTACAAGCTTCAAACGCTCTCTATACAGACTGTTTCACTCTACTGATTATATTAATAAACTATTTACTCCTAGAACGAATCAAGCACTAATCTACTACAGCACCTAAAAGACGCACTTCAACACCCTTAGCAATCTTTAAACTATAAATAAACTAGCAGCATGGATGCATAAAGACATAGTACGGAACATACAGGATTAGTTTACCCTTAGAAATAGGACCTATCCCTCATTGTAACCTTCAAACGCTTGCTATATAACTGTTTTGTCCCAATGACTATCCCTACCAGAACCCATCACTTATTTCTAAAACGCATCAGTCATTAGAACACTAAAACGCTCAGACTCATTAATACACATTATGACATTAAATAAACTCTAAGACTTCGCATAAATACGTGAAAACAAATACAATATAGAAAAATGTTTACTTAAGTATAATATACAACATTTATACATGCCTTAAATATTAATGTCCTTTTCATGTTCACATACTTTCTCTTTCTGGTATTTTGCTGCTCCTATTCATCTTCTGGTCGAGGTCGAACAACCCTGCATCTAAACTGAAATGAGGATTAATTCCAAACCGTCTATCTCATAACCACTCAAATTCCATGAACGATCCAATTCTACCATTTGAAGACGCTGGCGAACATGCTGTAAATGAGTATTCATGATCTGAAATGAAGAAGCAACTGGTTTTCAAACAGTTTTCAACATTTTACTCAACTTACGAATACAGTCCGCCATGCAGACACAAATGGAGCAAATGGAGAATTCTGGAATCGACCTCGGCACCACTTGATGCAGTAAAACAACCCAACATGACCTTATCTAGTTTTCGTATCCACGATCAAATTTCTTTCCTGTTATAAAACTACGATAAGACTACTGAAAAAATGGAATAAATATATCACTGATCTCAACATAATACATCAATAATCTTTAAGCCAAGGGTGCTGTTCACAACAAAGTTATATAGGAGAATTGACTTCAAGCTTTATTTTTCCCAGATATTTGTATTACATTCATCTGATGTCTGGGTTTTTTGTTAATGCGAAGACAATATTTCTATATCTCTTTATGTGCTACACAAACAAACTTTATAGCAGACTGTTCCGACTGACTTTGATGTCAGAAAGAACAACCAAACTGTAAATTCACTATACATCAAATTTTGTGTAATTTATATAATAACTTATCCATGCCTGTACAATTGGTATGTTCCTGCATAAACAGGAAGAAATATATTGCATATCTTTCTTTGTTCAGTGAGATTTATAGATTCTCTGTGTTTGCCTTTTCTTTTCGTACTTTTTTAATGCATGAGTTTGTTAAAATTTTCATCGTGATCTCTCTTAAACTGGCTTCGATTCTTTTGCATCTGTGTTTGAATTGATTGATGGTAAATTCAGCGGATGCGATTCGATACGCCGGGGAGGGGATTGTGCCAGAATGAGGTGAAACCTTCAACACCCCGTGGAACTGATCAGTTGGCATACTGTGGACAGAGAGAGAAGGAAATTTCCGATGACTGAGGATAATCCCACACGCCGGGGAGATACTGTTGGTGTGATTTGGTACGCCTGTTGTGTGTCGGTCATTTTTGTATTGCTTTTCCATTATAGCCCAGTCCCGGCTGCCCCAGGTTCACGCGTTGGCAGTTCAGTTCAAGGTTATCGGCGCTATGGAAAAAAGGGATGGACGTTTTACCGCGGAATGTCAAGGGAGGTGAACATTGAACGATTTTTTGGAACTTGTCAGCCACGTCTCGTAAACCGCCAATGCCCAGCTCTTGCTACGCTAAAACTCACGCTGTTCCTTGAAGTTTCTCAGAAACGCTTAGTAATAACGGACGAAAAACCAAAATACCGATTGGCCACACGAGAATTATTTATTGTAACACCAACATATAGACAACATTAAAATTAGGATTTCACTAAGGTCTATGAACAAATTTTACAATAATAAATCACAATATTAATTCTGACAGTTTCGGCTTGACTTCCTTCCGAACAGCGACCTATGAGACGATGACTGCTGGATTGATGCCAGCGCGAAAATGTAGGGAAGTTGGTTTTGAGCAAACAACCATGAATTGATCGTTCAATCTTCAACTACATTGACACTCCCCGACAAGAAACGGATCCATCCCTTTTTTCCATCACGACCAATACACGTTGACTTGGATGCCAGTGCGAGAATCTCGGCCACACGGAAGACTTCCGGTTAAAGGCATCCTCTTGACATCTCGCAACACAATCGCCACTTGCTAGAATGACTCTTGCAGAATGCAACGTGACCATAACAGAACCTGATGACACTCTTCACACATCCTCTTATCTATTCACTACCAATTACCACGGTGATCGCTTGTCACTCATTCTGCCTCAGTTCTAGTAACGGTGACGTATGCAAGCCCCAGTCGTCTACACTCCCGCTCCCCGGCGCTTGGGATCACACCTAATCATTATCTCCGTATGCATGTCATTCTCAGCAATAGCCTCCCCGGCGTATACGACCCGTCTGCTGTCTCTAACATCAATCAATTCATTCACGAACGTAGAAGACTAGAAACAACTTCAGAAGTAATCACGACGAAATTTTTAACAAAATTATGCAATAAAATTAAGGTACGAAAACAACGAGTAAACACAATTAATCCAAAAAACACCAATTGATATGACACACCACACGTATATACAAACAGTACACATAACCTCGCAGATCATGTCTCGATGGAATTCCTTTGAAGAATTGCAGGACTTAGACCAGTACGCCTGCAACCCTTCTCAGGTTGACGATTGTAGGTTGAAGAATGTCCGGGCTTAAACAAGATTAACCGACAATTACAATAATTGGAACCCACTCAATTACTTAACACAAACATATGTACAATCAATACATCAAATGGTGTGGATTCTGCCTTGATGAACTACCCTTGAAGGACTGTAGGACTTACAGCAGTACGCCTACATTCCTTCTCACGTTGATGATACCAGTGGAAGACGTCCGGACACAAACAAAAAATGCTGATTTGGAATTCCTGTCAGATCTGTTGAGAAGTTCTCCCGGGAAGTATGCTTCATCAACAATAACTTAGAAGTATCACCTCAGATTTTCTACAAAACATTTGGCTCAGCAAGAGATACAATCTCGCCCCTAAAATCTGCGCTAAAGACACCAACTCCACCTATAGACCGCAAAACGCGACTAAAACTAAAGAAATTAGAAAGGAAATACCATGTATTTAAGGAATTCACTGTTTTGACGCAGCAACAGTATTTCTCACTGAAGTGAGTCAGTGTGAACATCTAGCACTTGCAACCAGACTAGTGGACATGCTGATCTACATAGAGGAGCTAACAAACTCTGACCCTAAACTTATGGTAGGCATGGGATTTAGAATTCGAGGGGATTGAATAATGTATGAACCTGTTTCGGACACCGGAAAAATAGGAATGCAGTTTCCCTGCCTTATGGATCAGACTTTATGTGGAAGGCTTGCAGTGAGGGTGAATGACTCCTTAAGATAATTACTGGTATCGATCTGGGCTATGAGATTTTGTGTGGAACATCTTTTGGAGCCCAAAATCTACCAGGCGTATTATAATGAATAACGTAAGCAGCGACAGCAGAAGGACACATACCACATGAATAGGAAAACAAAAGTCAAGTGATTATATAAGTATGGGAATGCACCAGGAATGAAATGTGACAAACAAAGACAGCAACCTGAGAAAACCTTGGACTGCATGATTTCTTTGTACGATCGGGAGAAAAAGGGAGTGGGAAAAAAAGAAAAATCTCGTTATTTATTTGGCCTAGAATCTTCCTTCACATAAATCCGAAATGCTTGCCTTTCCTATCAAGATGGACCATAGGAGAGATGAAGTGCTGAAATCAATGCATATTATAACCATGCATTCCATGGGATTAGGACCAGCAAACGATACTGTGACACTACTATTGTACCGAATTGACTACTGATGGAATCTCGAAGACTAACAAAATCTAAACTGTCAACGACATAACTCTAAATAATATAAAAACGTCCCAGATCTCTAATTGTTTTACATACCGTTCTAACAGGAAGGAAGAATGGAACGCGAGGATTTCTACGCGGACGAGCCACATTTCTTCGCCTCAGAAGATTTCTAGCATCACGAAACTTTGAATTACGTTGTCGAACACGGTTGTGAAGCAGTGAACGGGCATCTGGTGTTCTGATAGTTAAGTTTAGCTTATTTCTTAAATCATTTCGACCGTTGTTAACTGTTGTGTTTGTCTTTCCCAGTCGCCTCCTAAGTCTATAATATATAACAAGGCAAAGAAATTACTTTGCAGGCACTGGCCTGAGGCGTCTTTCAAATGTAGCGTTCATTATTGAACTTAGTCTATACCTATTCCAATGACATTTCAAACAATATGACTCATAGTTCACGAAACAGTTGTAAGCTCCATTTCAACACAGATTTTAGCAGCGAAAAACACCCATTTGAGTTCTTCTCGTTCAAAGGGTCTAGTTTTCAACCGACATACACATGCAGATGTTTGGTTGAGGATAGGTCCCTAGTCCATGTTAATCCTATTTTACCAGCTAGGACCAGGCGATGTCGCAGACAACATTTTGTTTGAGTGCTAGTTCAAATAAACATTTCTGCCATGGGAATCTATAACCCCTATACTGCACTAGAGGTAGTGGTTAGTGGTTAGAGAATAAAGCGGGAGGACATGTGTATTTAAATGGGATGTGTGATTTCTATATTCTTTTAGAGACTTCTTTACCCCACTGAACTGTAGTGAATGATGATTTATTTTTGTGTAGACTAGGCTCACACGCTCCACTAGTGCACCAAAATCCTTACGACGAGCAAGTTTCAGACTACTTATTTTCTTCTCAATTAATACGAGTTATGGCCCGGTGGATTTTTTTATTATAGATATAAGAATAAAACTTGTGCACTGTGGTAGAGTATTATTCCATTATGGGTAAATTTTATCTTGATAAAGTCTCACAGTGTCATACAGTAATGTTTACTGGTGACATTTCGAGCACAATTTATTGCTCAAAACCATATCAAGGTGATATGATTTACCCATAATGGAATTTTTTATTATAGCTTGACTCCACACAGTACGTTTTGGTACGAGTATGAAATTTTCAGCATGTGATATCGATAGCCCAAATTTCGCAGGCTGACCACAGATATCAGGTGTGCGTCGGCAGGGGATCAAACCCCGGACCATGTGCATGGTTGGCGAGAGTCCTAACCGGTGTGCCACCGATTTGTGAATATTGTGAAACGTAAGTCCGTTACAAGACGGAGGCCAGTACCCCGAGGCGATATTATCCGTTCTTGACTTTCGAACTCTTCTGCTGTGCAGTTTGATGTTTCCGTGTTATTACAAAGAAATAAGATGATAATCAAGAGAATTTTCGTGACATGTATGGAAATAATGAATCATTATCCAGACCACGACACGACTTCCGAGAAAATCTCTCGTGTCCGACAAATCATCTTACAAAGAAAGAAACCTGGGACATATCCAAAAACAACAGGGAACTCATCCATGACGTCCCCGAAGAATTCAGCGAAACCTCCGAATAAATTCCAAACACAAGACTGCTCAAGATATTGGAGGCTCTTAGAATCAACAGTGCCTTGCTTAGCTGGATGAAGGCATTCCTCGCAGGTGGGAGACCATGGGTCATGAAAAACTCTAAACTCTCTCCTTGGACAACGGTACTTCGCGGATTGTCACAGAGCATCATATTGGACTTTTTCTCTATCTTTTGAATCAATGAACTCCCTGGGCATCAGTGGTTCAGCGGTATAACTCTCGCCAACCGCCCGCATGGTCCAGGATTCGATGCCTTGCTAAGCTGATAGTAGGGACAGTGAGGAGGGAAGGTCGGGTATGAGACTTGAGACTCCAACCGACAAAAACAAAAATAAACCTAGTCTTTGTGGAGACCATACCAACCCTTTACTAAGATCAATAGTGTTCAATACTTCATTGGAACTTCTGACGAGGCCTAAACTAGAAAACTGCGTTCAGGCAACTGGCCCAGGTGTCAAAAAGGGCTCCTAGAAAGGATTTGAAAGAAAGACACGTAAATGGTTTCTGACATGGCTGATCTTCCATCTGAAGAAACACTTGACGCGTTGAACTACTCTTTCCTGATCATGTTGTAGGCCGAAAGAAGATCTAGGTACAGGCTCCCTAAGAGACTTAATGTTCGCTTCTGGCTGAATTCAACTAGAGATGACACCAATGATTTTCAGGTGGTCACCTATCCTTCTTGACCTGAGCTTTGACTACACTACCTGTTGGCTCTTTAGCCTGGCCCACGTAAGCCAATGGCCAGACTTCTGTTAACGCCGCCTGTCAATGTAGTTGAAGATTGAACGATCAATTCATGGTTGTTTGCTCAAACCCAACACTATATTTTCGCGGGAGTCATCGATACTGCAGTCATCGTTCCATCGTTCGCTGTTCGTTGGAAGACAGAGAAAAACTATCAGAAGTATTGTAGTGATTTATTGTTGTGACATTTGTTCTTAGACTTTGTGTACAATAACCTTATGGTTGGCTCCGTATTGGTGCAAGAAAAAAGCATTCTTGGGTCACCAATTTCTGTTCCGGTTTTTTGCGTTGATTATTGAGCATAGTTCCTGAAAGTCTTTCAAGGACAGTGTGAAGTCCAGTGTAGTTAGACCTGGACGTTGACAGTTTTTGATGATTCACCTGGAATTATTCGTCTTATTTATTTCAATTCGTCTTTCTTCGCGTCCGTCCGTCTTCTATGGACAAGTGTTATTTGGAACTTTTCTGGATCTTTTGGTCAAGTTCAATAATGCCTGGGTCAAAGAAAGGACAAAGAGTTTTGAAAGCAGGCAGAAAAGTATGTAATAATAATGTATATTTTCATATAAACATAAATTTACATGAAAATGCATGCCATTTTTACAGGCACGGTCAAGTATGATAAAATATCAAATCGCAGATTGTCTAGAAGTTAATATTTCAACGGTTAAATATTTGATTTATATATATACATATATATATAAATAGATTGAACTTATTCTATTCCTATTCTCTGTAGGGTACGGTTGTGCACCAAACAGACAAAAAGGCATGAAATAAAAACAACCGGCTTGAGAATAAATGTATTAAAACCAAAAGTGGACATCGTGATAGTGAGACCTATATGGGCAGCATTATACACTGCAAATGAACGTTGTCAGCCTAGGGATTTTCCTTTATAAATGCATTTACTAATGATATATTGCACTTACTAAATTTATTACACCTAAATAATTCACCTTAGCACTTTTGCTTTTCTAAAACGGCTTTCAATCCCTTGCGAAATTTGTACTTATCTCAACATTGGTATGTTATCGTATGCCTACAACCACGGGATGAAAACGAAACGAAGTCGGTTTTCCCGCTCAACCTAGAGGACAACTGTAGAATTCAACAACTATACGGCCTGGTTCAGACAATGAGTGTAATTATATATATATATATCAGATATTTAACTGTTGAAACATTATTAACTTGTAGACAATTTATGATTTGACATTATACCATACTTGATGGTACCTGTAAAAATAGCATGCATTTTCACGTAAATTTATGTTTATATGAAAATACAAATTATTATTATAACTATAAAATGTTAGGTTTAATGGAATGTAATGAGGATCAAGTAAAGCTGTCATTAGAAAATAAATGAGATGAGACATTGTGAAGTGGTATTCAAAGATCCGACAATGGACAGCAAGTTAATTTATAAGATGCCCCATAAATCTGTGCAGAGCCCATGTGGTCGCATCTCAACAGTAGGCTGAGCGAACGGTATTTGTTTAAAGACAGAGGCATGATTTGTCTAGGCATTCATTATAATCTTTTTTAAGATAAAGATCTAAGGCCTTATAAAAATCAGAAATATCTCGAGCCTTCAAATTGTATATTGCTGTTCCTGCAGAACGGGGTGATTCACCTTAGTGACCACCACCATATCTACTGATCAGCTAGCACCACCCTCCCTCCGTTATTGATATTAGGCTCTGAGACTATGATTATCGTGGCTACCGGAGATATATTGCTTGGTTCCAGACATGTTCATACCTCATATTCCATCTCCCTAGCCTTCCTAATGAGTGCTTCTAATAGGTCTCCACGCACATCTTTGTGATCATATTATATATGTATGCATGCGTCCTAATGAACATATAAGTTTATAAGAAGTTAAAACCTTAAAGAGTAAAAAGAATAGGTATTGTGAATTGTGGAGCAAGATTCTCCGGAGCACTATAGTTTAGGGTCAATGTAGGTAGTATGAACTGAAGTTACGGTCAGTTGGCAGGACTTAGTGTACTAAATTATTATGACGGTCTTATATATAGTAAACATTTGACATTGCAAAGTAACCTGTCTAAATATATAAAAAAGTTAATAACACTGAACCAACAAAATTTTAGCATTTGGTTAACAATATTGCAGAAGAGAAGTTAGTCCTACAGGGAACTATTAAGTAAATAAATCTATAAAGATGAATTGCACGTTAGGTAAATTTAAACCCTTACTATCCCTAAACGGCGAACCATGAACAACAGACTCATCATGGTGAGCATCATACACATCATTACAATTAACAAGCAACTCAGTATTACTTACTTTCCTGCCTGCTCCCAAGACGCTTATTTCCTTCTTTGACCCAGGTACCACTGAACTTGACCAAAAAATTCAGAAAAGTTCCAGATAACACTTGTTTAAAGAAGACCGACAGACACGAGGAAAGACGAACAGAAACTGTCATCCAACTCTCAGAAGCTGTCAATGTCCAGCCCTTACTACGCTGGACCCTACACTGTCCCTGGAAGACTTTCAGAAACAATTTGTAATAACCAACGCGAAAAACCAGAACACATATTGGCGACTCCAGAATCCTTTATTCTCACGCCAATATGTGACCAACAATAAGGTTATTATACACAAGGTATAAGAATAAATGTTATAACAATAAATCACGATAATACTTCTGATGGCTTTCTGTCTTCCACCGAACAGCGAACGATGAGGCGATGACTGCTGGATTGATGACTCCTGCGAAAATATAGAGTTGAGTTTGAGCAAACAGCCATTAGCTGTATCGCGGTACGTTCAACGTTTGCGTTACATTTTTACGTGATTCGTTACATAAAATTTATCTTGTTTTAGTACTTGCACAAGTACTATACCACTTCCATACTTGTAACCACTAACTCTCATTTCTAATAGTTATGGTTAATCAAAGTAAAAAGCAACGAACCCAATCCCCTGTAAAACTGGTGCCTAATTTAACGTCCTTGATTGCTACATCAAGCAACACAC